ATTCCGTTACTTTCGTTACGAAAGTCGGAACGAAAACTGCGTTATCTAAAGATCTAGAGAATTTGAGATGATCAAATTTTAAACAGAAAATTTCCCCCTAATTGCACCGCTATTTCAACAAAAAAAGTTACAACATTTCAGAAACAACGTGAGAGAGCACCCTACTTCCCAAAATTAAAGTATTTTCAAGTTTGTGAACAAAACGACAGATTTGATTTGAGCTCAGTTGTCCAAGATTCTTGAGCAGATGTTGTTTTGGCATAAAAAAGTAAAGAACTTAGCACCTATTTTCTGCACTAAGGCGGAAATAATTATTTTGCCATGAAATCGGTGTTTTGAAATAAGGAAGATATGACCTAAATGTATTGTAAGTAATTTCACCTCCGATAAAAGGCTTGTTCAAAAATTTATTAGCATGAATATTGTTGAGGCACCGTATGAAAAATTGAAGAAGTTCATACACAAATAGCTCGTGGAAAAATAAATTCCATGTTGATTTATCTCTTTCAAAATTTTATCAAGCTTTCGTTTAAAATGTTTCAATTTCATGGGCTTCTGAAACAAGAAGATCAAATTTCAGCTAGTACAGTGCTGATTTAAATTATCCGGACAAAACGAACAAAACTTGAATTTTCAAACGCGTTTTTCTCAAATTGGGTTAAGATTAGACAAGAAGTGAACAGTACAAAAGTTGCTTAGAATTTCATCAGAATTAATATGGTGCAGTTTTTCTCCGAAGTTCTCAACCAAAATTTTACCTCAAAAATGGGTAATTTTGGCTTTTTTCAGTTAATCAAGAATTACGCTGAAACTATTTTTTTAATTGATAAGAATATTATATCAATAGAAGCCTCTTACGCAGTTCAACAAAGTTTAGGAAGGGATAAATCTCCAAAAACCAGTATAAGAGAAAAAAATTTCACTTGATAATCAATAAATGTGATTTTTACTATATAAAACCCAGAATCTTTGCTTAAAAACAAATTTTACACAATTTGCGCAAATTTTTGAAGAATTAACCCTCCTTAAACTTTGTTGAACTGCGTAAGAGGCTTCTATTGATATAATATTCTTATCAATTAAAAAAATAGTTTCAGCGTAATTCTTGATTAATTGAAAAAAGCCAAAATGACCCATTTTTGGGGTAAATTTTGGTTGAGAATTTCGGAGAAAAAACTGCACCATATTAATGCTGATGAAATTCTAAGCAACTCTTGTTCTGTTCACTTCTTGTCTAATCTTAACCCAATTTGAGAAAAACGCGTTTGAAAATTCAAGTTTTGTTCGTTTTGTCCGGATAATTTAAATCAGCACTGTAGAATTTAGATCAATATTTCATCAATAAAAAAGAAAATTATTAAATCTCAGCGCTGTCCTTGAAATTTATTAGACTGGTTTTATCAGTATTTAACATTGGGTTATTGTAAATCAGACAATTATTTTTTTTTTTCAAAGTCTGACTGAAAGTCAGCCAGACATGAGTTATAAGCAATTACAACGATGCAGTGGTTGGATCTGGGCTTTTCTGGGGGAAGGGGGGGGGGGGGGGTTAGAGGGGTTGGAGGTTGTGTTGCCGGCTTTATTTAATAATTGTGATCAAACCGATTTCGTAATTTATATTTGAACTTTTCAATTTTGAAAAATAAACTTTGTACCAGGAAGAAACTTTGATTGTTGCAATTGCGTTTAACGTCCTAACATTCAAATTTGGCAAAAAAATAGACTAAAAATTTGGTAAAATTTAAGCATTGGCAGTTTGGTCAATTTGGACGGTGGAAAAGGCTTTTTTTCCTGAGGTGTGGTCTTGAAAAAAAATTGAAATTGATCTTCTAGATCAATAATCTTTTCAAAAAGGCTTCAACAAAAAGATACGATTTATCTAATGAATCATTCCCCTCCTCAAATTGAAAAACTTTGCAGGTCGCTCCGCCAAGTTTTTATCTAAGTCTTGCGGCCAACAATTTTGTCTTAAATTGGGTCGCCAAATTTTCATTTTTTGTCGCAAATTTTTACCATATGTCACGCCGATGGCGCGATTTCAAATTATATTTTAGCGGTGCGACCTATGAACAATTTTTGGCGCAAGAAAAGAAAACGTTTTCAGTCGTAGCGGTTTTTTTGTATTGTTTTTTCAGTTGCGCCGGTTTGGAATAGGCAATTCTCGGCCGCTCTGGAAGCGCCATTATCTTCGGTCGCGCCGGTTACGACAGTTTTTTGGTCGCGCCGGTTGTAGCGTTTGTTTTTCTGTCGCGACAGTTTTAATTTGCCAAAGTTCAGTCGAGCAGGTCTGGAATTACTATTTTTAACCCAAGGCTGTCTGAAATTGTCAAATTTGCGTTGCTCTGGTCTTATCGTAATCCGCGGACCTCGACCCAGGAAAGTAATTTCAAAGGGTGTTCCTTTTGGTGGTCAATGGTTCGACCCCCTACAAGCGATAAGAGTTCCCCTCCTATAATAGACTCGGTCCTAGATAGCAATCTTGACAGGCAGACGGTTCAAAGAAACAGAAGTTGCTTTATGAGGTAACTTTTTATCGAATCTGTTTTAACTTCACTTTTTGACCTGTCAATGTGCATCCTTTGTCCCCATTTGACGACACGCGTTAGAGTTTGCTTTTATATTCCATGAAATGGACTGATTAAACTTAGAATAATTACGCTCTTACTCTCTTGAATAATGCATTTATTCTGATGGCACAAGTATAAATTTAAATCGGTTTCTGAAACAAAGAGAGAAAAATAATTTCTGAAACCATCTTGAACCGGGACAGAATTAAAATTTAAATAAAATTTCGGCTCCAAACAATATGAAGACCAATATTTGCAGCCAGGAAATTGGAAAACAAATACACTTTGTTGATAGAACTTTTTTTGAAAACTCCGTCAGTTTACAGAAAACTCCAACCAAACAAAAAATGTTCCAAACTTCGATTGACTTACCGTCCGAGGCAATAAACGAAATGTTCCGAAAATCTACAAGAAAAGTTAGAAGTTTTAGAAAACAAGATTTCTCGTGTCGTTTAATTTAAATGTAGTCAGATATCTTTCTTGATATCTACTGCTTTATACTACAATTAATACCAACTGATTTGAAAAAAAATTCAATTTGGGCTTAGTTTGGACAAAATTGCCACGCTTTAATTTTTATTCAAACAATTTATTCCGGCCTTCATTGACTTAAAAATTTCTTTCAGAGCAGTAAAATGTTTGACTACTGCTATAATTATTGTGGGCATTTGAACTAACACCCCTTTCAAAAAATACTAATTCTGAATCAAATATTAAAAGCTATGAGCGTCATTTATCTCAGAACCCAGATGTCAACTCAAGTTATAGCATGGTTATTAAAATGCAAAAAGTTTTTTAAACGTCACTAACTCAAACGAACTGGCCTATCAAAAATGCACGCAATATAAAGAAGGACCTCAAAAAACTGCTCCTTCTAGAGTAACCACAGTCCTGTATACCATTGTGAAATTGTGCTCAGCTAACTTTTTATCCATCTGAAAAGTATCTGAATTTGAGATGCAAATGCCTTACATTTAGAAAAATGTACATTGAGTTGAACTTAAAAATCCTTTTCAGCAGCTTTTATGGGGAATCGTGAATCATCTTTTGTGTTCATGGAATTGCCAGGATTGATTCAATTTTTGTTCCCTGGTGTTTTCTAATGTAAATTAAGATTTATTAGCCGTCAAGATTATGAATTGCTGTCGTTTTCTTGATTGATAAGAGAAATAAATTGCCTGTACTTGTGTCGGTAAAGCGTTGGTTCATCAATCAAACACTAACTGTCCCTTTTTGAAACCTATCACCTACAAAACAAGACTGCTCGTATCAGGGCAAAGCAGCGAATGTTCCGACTGTCTTTCAAGGTCTATGAAGCAGTGTTCGCTTTTAAAAAATGATGATTTTTTGCAAAAATTAAAAATTTGGAGTTTTTTTTCAAAACCACCCCCTCCCCCACACGCCATATAAAGTATAAAGTTTTGCGGATTAAGTTAACATCCTCCTTCAAATACAACCACCCCCCCCCCCCCCCCGATCCCCCGAGATAGACCAAATTAAGATTTTCCATCCCAGCATTTAATTCGCATTAACTTTGGTCAGCGCTGCATGTAAAATGCTCGATTCTGATTGGTTGGAAGTTCCCAACTTAGAACCAAATTAAGTGAAATATAACTTTTCTATATAAGTCATGAAACTAAAGCAGTGTCCTGATAAAATGGTGGTAAAAAATTAGCGTATTAAAACTATCATGTATTAATCCAGCAGTTTCCAAACAAACATATGCTAGTGCAATACACTTACATCGCAGTTCAAATCTTCTGAAACCCGCGGTGCAATTTTTTTGTTTTTTTAAAAAACAATTTTGACCCGAATATAAAAATACGATCATCAAATCATATGTAATTACTGTCATCGAAGTATCGAGATAAAGCTAGAATATTCGCCTGACCCTTAAGATCAAGAAAATAGTTTTCCCAGAACTGTTTTTAAATAATTAAGTTTCAGAAAAAGCACCACAAAATTGCCGCTTACGCATTATCCACAGGAAACATACCGCACAGAAATAGTTGAAAATTGGTCTAACTGACATTTTTCAAACCCTCATTAGTAACAAAATTTGATCTTATAATTTTTGAAAAAGTGTTTTTTCTACCTTAAAACGTCAAAACTTTTCAGAATCCAAAATTTATCTAAATAGAAAGAGATTCAGGACAATAGATGTTGTACTGTGTGTGAAACACTAATTCCACTAATTGCTTTGCTTTTTATTCAAAAGCAAAACTAAAAATAGTAAAGTTGTTCCAATTCGAAACTTGGCTGATTGATCTCAAAGTTTTTTGGGGGGTTTTTCTGTTGCTGAACAGTGTATCTATCTTTTGCCTGTTTTTTGATATTTAAAATTAGAAAAAAGGGTCGCTCAAAAAAATCTCACACATCAAAGTTTTAATAACGGCAATCTATCGGCATATCTACGCTGAAGCTTACAAGAAGTCACATCAGCTTAAAAACAAAACATAACCAAATAACAGTTGCAAAAACTTTTTGAATTACGAAGAAAAAAACTATGGCCTTAACTATCGTGAATTTCAAGATGAATTTAGTTAGACATTTTTTGATGTTCAACTTGGTCAATTTACGAAAACTGTATTAATAGCAGAAATTTTTTTCCAATAGAAGTCGTTCATGTTTTTCCGTAGTTATTAGAGCATTTTTAGTCCGGAAACAAAAACGCAATAAAATCACCAAGATTTTTATTAGAGTCTTCACTCAGCTCATTACTCTTAGTATAGTCCTTTAAGACAAAAAGTGAATTTTTCCTTGAGCTCACTCGTGTTTTTACAAAATTTCAAAAATTACAAAAGTCCAATAATAACTTGCGTCAGATTATCACGAGCACAGAGAAATTATGTTCGGAGAGAAGATGCAAAGATTTCAATTCAAGTTAGATAGTAGTGTTTTAAATTTCAATTTTCCGGTGGTTCAAAATAATTCAATTTTTATTGATTATTTAAAAACAGAAACTGACCTAGAATTACCTCGAAAAGGTACTTTCAAAAGTTTTATCGACAGGCAGTTTTTTGAAGAAAAGTCGTTAGACAGAATTTTTTTTTGGCAAATAACAATTTCTGTTTCTATTTTTAAAAATAAAAATGGAAGATGCATCGATGCGAACCCTTTATTTCAATTTCTAACTCTTTTTTCAGCAGTTTATAAATTCGTCGTTAATAATTTTAAATTATGCGCAAAATGTATCACTGATTGCAAAAATGTCGTGTTCAGGCACACTTTTACTTTTGTGATTTCGTCTAACTGGGTTATGAATTGTTTGAACTTGGTTAAATTCAAAGTACATCGGATAAACAGGACTTGCCTTGTTTTCATCCTTGCTGTTATTTTTGCCGGATGATTTAGAGGGATTAGAGCTTTTGTGTCTGGACTGTTTCACAGTGTGGAAAATGTTCGCGTAGCAGAAGATGGAAATTAGCAGAGGACTCAGGAACCCCATCAAGTACATGAACATCAGTTGGGTCCGGGTAGTTAGATCCTGGGTGACGTAATCGAACGTGCAGCTAGTCTTGAAGCCTAAAGAAGTTCACAAGCATAGCTTCAAAAAAAAAGACGCCAATTTACAATAAAAAATAAATTGAATCTTTTATAGCAAGCCCATTTATGACTTATAAATTTGCGTCCGCAAGAGTTTTTGAGGTGAAGTTTTTTTTTAAATGTTGACGAATTTTTTCTAGATCCACCATATTGGACTTTGCGAGCTCTCCTAAAACGATGAAGAGATCTGTGAGAATTTCTGATGACAATTGAAGCAAACTGAGTACCTGAAAATATGAGCCACTAGATTTTCCCAAACTTTAAAAACCATTTCTCATAGCCAGTATATCGCGCACTTTGCTGGCCTTTAAGATCAAGGTTTTGCATGCTTTAGCAAACTTCCTTAACGATTAATCGGCCGAAGAACAACGATTGGGTAAGTTATTTCATGAGTTTGTAGCGAACAGAATGAAATTAATCAAAATATTATATCAAGGCATTACTAAGGGCAATATTTTCGACTCAGTCCCCCTAGTATGTTTATGTTTCGACTGTCTCGGCCCAAATTTGGTACGTTTCCACTACCATCTCTACAAAAATATAAAGAATTGATGGCCATTTTAAACTAAACCTTCAAAAAGTTTAATCCATTTTAAGACTAAATTTGCAAGTTTTCAGATATTATTATCAATGAGAGCTCGACACCGGTATAAAATTGTTTAATCTGCTATTCAGCTTTGTTCATGCTACTAAACCAATCATTTGTTTTTGACAGAGAACCGCTGAGCAAGATATAACAGCATAATAGATGTTTATTTACACTTCGTTTGACATTTACCTTAAAATTTCTTAAAATTTAAATTTCTTAAAATGAGTTTCTTAAAACTTGCCTGTTTAGTCTCCCAAGGTTGAATTTTGCAAAAATTGATTTCGAAAAGCAATTTTTCAACTATAATGCAGTTTATTCGACCAAACTTGCTTTTTCTTTTCCTTGTTTACCGTTAGTTATATTTGATTATTAGAAACCATTCTGTTTTTTCTCGAATCGGAGTTTAAAAATATCTTCCACAGTTGTGTTTTTATGAATAGGCAACAAACAAAAACCTTTGGTTACCTTTGGGATACTTTGTTGCCTGTTTTCTCTGTTTTTTTTTCCGAAGTTGCTTAGTTTGAGCTAGCTCGAATCTTAGGACCTTTGGGAGGGTTTGGGAGGTCACGGAAAAAAAGTTTTCCGTGTGATCGTTTTTTTTTTCGAGGATTTCTTACTCATTAACCATGAAAAAAAAATCCAAAAATGTTGATTTTTTATATTCTCGATTTATAAAAACAAATCATTTTGTAATGAATTTGCTTTTAGCCTGGTTAGTTGAGTGTATCCCGACTCACATTATCACATTAACAGGAAAAAATTTAGAAAATGAGTTTCCTGAAAACAATTTTTAGACGGCTGGAGCAGCACTTTACCCCACGAATCGAAGGGATGTCAAATTGACTCGGAACTTAACTTTTCAAAGTGAAGCACATCGCTTAGGTGCCTTAATCCAAAATCAGCTGACACGTCAGATCTTAATTATATGTTTATGTGCCCAGTGGATTGTTAGAATAATCTAACCGTTTATTTCAGCAAGGAAAGTTTTACACATTTAAAAAAAAATTGTCTTGAAAAAATTTGGATTGCAAAAACTGCAACACCTAGTGAAAAGATTAAACTTGAAATTTCTGTATGGCTCTCAACGTTACTGTGTTTCAGCCTTCATAATTGACGACGCCTCGTCTTACGATTCTGTCGAGTTCATTTTGCCAGATCCCAAATCACTACAGGGAGCAGAATGTCGCAATTTAAAGTAAGAACGTTTTCAGTTTTATTGCAATAACAAGTGTCGAGGTAATCGACCTAGATTTTTTTTATATCGCCAAAAGACAGGTTGATTCTTTTTATTATCTTACGTCAACTTCAAATAATTGAGAAAATCTGATTGGGTAGTTTACTCTAGGATGTCGAGAGTTTTTACTGTAGAAACAAAAACCGACAAGTAATTTTGCATTTTTGATTTTATGTCAAAGTTTGGATGAGACCCGATGTAGATATCTTCTTGTCCACGTCGGGATTAAGGATAGTTTCTGTAGAAAATTAGCTGTAAAAGAATCCCCATATTTATTCTGTTTTTTTTTTTTTAAACTCCAATTATTGGTCGTGAAAAAATACAGTTTTCCCAGGTTCAATCAAAGATATGGCTCAATTAGAGGTTCATTAACTTCAAAAGTACGATAGCAAAAACCGACCATGAATCTCACATGTAATTTGAAATCTTGAAAGTAACTTAGCGGTCAAAGTTAGTCAAGGTTACGTCAAGTTTTAGGCTCGAAAAAAACGCCTGTGAATGTTGATCCAGCCATTTTAGTATAAAAGCACTACATAAGCAATGAATATGGCGGGGTTCGGATCCATCCCGATGCGTCGATTTTAATTTCTAGTTCAGCACCGCAACCGCACGGCCATTACAATTTTATATTAGTAACATTTTTTAAAATGTTCAAGTGATACTATAATTTTCTATGCTTTAATTGCATTCGTTTAATCTCCACCCAAGGAGAAAATTATCGGATCGAGCTTAACAATCTTTGCCGTGATCGAACGAAACGACACAAGCAGGGGTTCGTAACCTATTGTGCTAACCGGCTCAACTAACCACACGAGACTATCAGTCCTGAGCTCATGCTCAGGTGGAGAGCCCCACTTATGCTTGATGTTGAATGAAGGAACTTACTCCCTCAGCCAACGTGACCATATAGCATTCGCGAGCGATTGAGTATAGGGTACGGTTGTACCCTTTCTGATGGCCAAAAAACTCGTCAGCGAACAGAGACGGAAAACTTGCGCAGTACTGCCAAAAAAAAAGTGATTGGTAGTGTCTGAGCTCATCTGAAGTATTAGGCGGCAAACTCGCGGAAGTATCCAGCTAACCAAAAAAAATTGATCTAGAACTTTGTCGGCCAGCTTACGGCAACTTGTTATCGCATTGAACACTCACCAACAGCAGCGAAGTTGTTTCACCAATTTTCACCAGGATCTGGACAAAAAAAGATCTGGACCAAAAAAAGCACCTGGACCAAAAAAAGATCGTATACCCCAGTGCGTGAAGAACAGCTCGTTGCCCATCATACAAAAGTTGTATTCAAGGAGTGAACGATTTCACCAGGCTATGAACTGGACTGCGCCTCTGAAATGGAGTTGATTGAACAGAAGATTCCTTGCAATGTCGAGGTGCTCCCAATAAAATCAGTTTTGGATCCGATCGTCGTGCGATGATTTTTTGGATCAACTTTGGATGAGACCCGATAAAAATCTGTCGCATAATTCTAAATCCTGAATAGTATTCTTTAAACTGTCAGAGCTGCGGAAAGCTAGATTTTATCAGATAAAATATTCTACCTTTTCTCTGTAATTAATTCTGGTTACATATCCTGCTTTAAAAGGACAATCATTAATGAGGTCATGGCATCAAATTTTCTGCTGAGTAATTTTACAGAATGGTGGTAAATAATACCAGCTTTCAAACAACTTATTCGGAAATATTGCGCATTTTAAACTACTTGAAAAAACCAACAGCATAAAAATGACCATGAGTCTCTCAAAAAATCTGTAATTGTTAACCACTTAGGATAGCCGATATGCTACCAACTACTCATTTAGCGGTCAAAGTTGGTCAAGGCAGCTATAATTCTTAAACCTAAAAAGGACAAAAAATTGTCTGGGGGGAGTCGATTTATCCATGTCCTAATATTTTTGATTGAAAAGAAAAGTAGCAATGCCCTCATAAAAAGCCCAAACCATCGTGAAAATAAAAATCATTCTTAGAGGGTTATTTTGCGTCCCGCTATTTCTTAAACTGAAATTGCAATGTAATCCAGAAACTAAAAAATTGGTGTTCACAGAAACTTATTGTACAGTTATGCTTTTTAATTTAAGAAATCTTAGATTTAAAATGTAGTGAATCATTTGTGTATAAGTCACTAATTTTTTGAGTCAGTTTCAAATTGTGGTTTTGCTTGAGAATTTTAGGGCTTTATTACAAGCAAGGAAACTGTTTTTTTCTCTGAAAATAATTTTTTTTCCATTGTTCTTTTCAGTTTTCGTTTTCAATATCAATTTCAACTTTCACTTTGAAAGTGTGGCTCTCAACTTTCTCGCAAAACTGGTTTTTACGATCGTGCAAATTTACTTTTAGTTTGGCCGAGATGAACAAGACAATGGAAGCCTCTCCAGGTTTCTGCGAAAAATTATGAGACAAAATTGTTTTTTTTTCGGAGTTCGTAGCAAATTATTCAACAAGTTATTATTTCAACTATCTTTCTTTATACTTTTGTTTTCCCTGAATGTTTTCCCTGATTCCACAGTTTTGTCTGGATTCTACGCAAAACACAACATACACACACATACGCAACACACACACACACATATACGCCCAACAAATGTGCATCTGATAAGGGTACAGTTTGGCATCGTAACGGACATTCAAATCTGCTTTCAACCAGAATAAGTCTAACACTTTGCAGCAGGATTGAAAAAAAAACAAAGTCTGCAAGTCATCGAACTCTCCCATGCTGCATTGTTGAAAATAAAAGATCCGAGATCAGCTGATTTTCTTCACTCCTAGCACTCATCATTTGTTACCTTTTTTTAGCATCTACTTCTGCATCAGGCGATTTGTGACTTCGAGTGTCAACAGTTCTCGTGTTGCTTCGTGGAATGACACAATAGAGTTTGCGATGCTAAGTCGCTATAATTACAGAAGCATCAATTGGTACTCATTCGATACATCTGAGAACGATGGTAACGTCTCAGTCTCTCAGAATCTCAGTCATCATCATTCCGAAAGAAAAATCTCACTTTTTAGAAGCCTATCTATCAGAAACTATTAGTCTCAATTTTTCATTTTCTGAACGATCAGGAAACAATTTTGCTTTCAAACTAAAAAATCAAACTAAAACATGATTAATGAAGTCCAAATCAATTCATTATTAAGGTAATTTACTTT